ACAAAAATCCAGAAAATCACATTGTATGATTTTTAAGTAATTAATTTGCATTTTATTGCATGACATAAGTATTTGATCACCTACCAACCAGTAAGAATTCCGGCTCTCACAGACCTGTTCATTTTTCTTTAAGAAGCCCTCCTGTTCTCCACTCATTACCTGTATTAACTGCACCTGTTTGAACTCGTTACCTGTATAAAAGACACCTGTCCACACACTCAATCAAACAGACTCCAACCTCTCCACAATGGCCAAGACCAGAGAGCTGTGTAAGGACATCAGGGATAAAATTGTAGACCTGCACAAGGCTGGGATGGGCTACAGGACAATAGGCAAGCAGCTTGGTGAGAAGGCAACAACTGTTGGCGCAATTATTAGAAAATGGAAGAAGTTCAAGATGACGGTCAATCACCCTCGGTCTGGGGCTCCATGCAAGATCTCACCTCGTGGGGCATCAATGATCATGAGGAAGGTGAGGGATCAGCCCAGAACTACACGGCAGGACCTGGTCAATGACCTGAAGAGAACCATTAGTAACACACTACGCTGTCATGGATTAAAATCCTGCAGCGCACGCAAGGTCCCCCTGCTCAAGCCAGCGCATGTCCAGGCCCGTCTGAAGTTTGCCAATGACCATCTGGATGATCCAGAGGAGGAATGGGAGAAGGTCATGTGGTCTGATGAGACAAAAATAAAGCTTTTTGGTCTAAACTCCACTCGCCGTGTTTGGAGGAAGAAGAAGGATGCCAACCGTGAAGCATGGAGGTGGAAACATCATTCTTTGGGGATGCTTTTCTGCAAAGGGGACAGGACAACTGCACCGTATTGAGGGGAGGATGGATGGGGCCATGTATCGCGAGATCTTGGCCAACAACCTCAATCCCTCAGTAAGAGCATTGAAGATGGGTCGTGGCTGGGTCTTCCAGCATGACAACGACCCGAAACACACAGCCAGGGCAACTAAGGAGTGGCTCCGTAAGAAGCATCTCAAGGTCCTGGAGTGGCCTAGCCAGTTTCCAGACCTGAACCCAATAGAACATATATAATAATATAATATAATATGCCATTTAGCAGACGCTTTTATCCAAAGCGACTTACAGTCGTGCGTGCATACATTTTTGTGTATGGGTGGACCCGGGGATCGAACCCACTACTTTGGCGTTACAAGCGCCGTGCTCTACCAGCTGAGCTACAGAGGACCACATCTTTGGAGGGAGCTGAAAGTCTGTATTGCCCAGCGACAGCCCCGAAACCTGAAGGATCTGGAGAAGGTCTGTATGGAGGAGTGGGCCAAAATCCCTGCTGCAGTGTGTGCAAACTTGGTCAAGACCTACAGGAAACGTATGATCTCTGTAATTGCAAACAAAGGTTTCTGCACCAAATATTAAGTTCTGCTTTTCTGATGTATCAAATACTTATGGAATGCAATAAAATGCAAATTAATAGCTTAAAAATCATACAATGTGATTTTCTGGATTTTTGAAAGAGATAGGGAAAGAGTTTTGCCTGAGAGAGAGAGAGAGAGAGAGAGAGAGAGAGAGAGAGAGAGAGAGAGAGAGAAGACACAAACACCCTGTCTGCCAACAACAATTGAGGCAGGCTCAGAAGCAGCAGAGAATTGCCTGCGCTAACACAGCATTGATGATAGCCTTTGATTATGCTGCCTGTGAGTCCAACAGAGAACTAAGAGCAATCTACAGAAAGTTTGATATATTTTTCTGCTTGTTATACATGTTCTTATGCTGAGTTCTTCGGCCCTATTATTGTATGTCCTGAGTGTGGGCCCTAAGAAGCTTTGGATAAGTAGACTGTAGATGTTGTGAACAAAATGTAATTAAAATAAATTAGGCTGAGATTGGGTTTAGCGTGCCAAGAGGAACTGTGAAACAACTTTGTAAGACAAGTGCAGTTCTAGAAAAGCATGTACAAAGAATGTCTTTCATAAAACTTGAACTTGAATAGCCAAGGTCAAGTCTTTTGACTGTTACAAAATTATATGAATTATACATTAAATGCATTATAGTCTGAGTTTCATGAAATACTCTTTGAGAGAGTCTTTGAAAGAGTCTTTGATTTTAAAGACATTAATTTACTCTTTCAAGGAAAGTTATATTTTCTAAGGTCCTAAATCAAACACTTCAGGAATAAGGACTATAGTGCAGTATATGACTATATGACAGTATAAGGACTATAGGACAGTATAAGGACTATAGGACAGTATAAAGACTACCTACAGGACAGTATAAGGACTACAGTATGTAGCTCAGTTGATAGAGCATGGCGTTTGCAACGCCAGTGTTGTGGGTTCAATTCCCACAGGGGGTATGATAATGTATGCACTAACTGTAAGTCGCTCTGGATAAGAGCGTCTGCTAAATGACTAAAATTTAAAATGTAAAATGTACAGGACAGTATAAGGACTACAGGACAGTATAAGGACTACAGGACAGTATAAGGACTACATGACAGTATAAGGACTATAGGACAGTATAAGGACTACAGGACAGTATAAGGACTACAGGACAGTATAAGGACTACAGGACAGTATAAGGACTATAGGACAGTATAAGGACTACAGGACAGTATAAGGACTACAGGACAGTATAAGGACTACAGGACAGTATAAGGACTATAGGACAGTATAAGGACTATAGGACAGTATAAGGACTATAGTACAGTATAAGGACTATAGTACAGTATAAGGACTATAGGACTATAGTACAGTGTAAGGACTATATGACAGTATAATGACTATATGACTATAGTACAGTGTAAGGACTACAGTACAGTATAAGGACTATACGTCCAGAGCTTCATCACCATTGTCTATGTACTGTATTTCAGACACTGTCTCTCCTTCCCTCCTTCTCTCTCTTTCTCTGTCTCTCTCTCTCTAGTAGTTACTGTATATGCTTAATGGGCCTTCAGGTAGACCCATTTAACTGTCAACCTAAGTGCTTTATGCCAGTTATGTACGAGTAACACACACAGAGACACACAAACACACACTGTCCCTGTGAGCACTTGCAGTTGAATGAACTGATATGGCTTTCCTAGCCTATTTGCTAAAGCCACACGTCCATTGGAAATGGCTAGAAATCACAAATAAATGAACCCTCCACTACTCCTGACTGCATTTACAAACCTGTATGGGTTGAGAAATAATTTGAGCATGAGATTGAGATAATCTTATCTGCCTTGCTGAATGTGCAATCAGCTGCTATCTTTGATCTGTAGTGAAATATGAAGCAAGCTGGCATATCGTAATCCGCCTCCATGGGAGCTAGCTGCGGGTAGGGATTGCCTAACAGCTCCCTCTGTCAGGGAAAAGGCAGAAGATCAATGCTTATAGGGAAGGGCATTCAACATGCATAGCACTTACACAAATGACTGATGATTGGCTGAGAGAAATTGATAATAAAAAGATTGTGGGAGCTGTTTTGTTAGACTTCAATGCGGCTTTTGACTTTAATGATCATAGTATGCTGCTGGAAAAACGTACATTATATCTTATGGCTTTACACCCCCTGCTATATTGTGGATTGAGAGTTACCTGTCTAACAGAACACAGAGGGTGTTCTTTAATGGTAACCTCTCCAACATAATCCAGGTAGAATCAGGCATTCCCCAGGGCAGCTGTCTAGGCCCCTTACTTTTTTCAATCTTTGCTAATGACCTGCCACTGGCTCTGAGTAAAGCCAGTGTGTCTATGTATGAGGATGACTCACCACTATTCATGTCAGCTACTACAGCGAGTGAAATCACTGCAACACTTAACAAAGAGCTGCAGTCAGTTTCAGAATGGGTGGCAAGAAATAAATTAGTCCTAAATATTTCAAAAACTCACTAAACCCTAAACCTCAACTAAATCTTGTAATGAATAATGTGGAAGTTGAGGAGATTGAACTGCTTGGAGTAACCCTGGATTGTAAACTGTTATGGTCAAAACATATTGATGCAACAGTAGCTAAGATGGGGAGAGGTCTATCCATAATAAAGTGCTGCTCTGCCTTCTTAACAACAATATCAACAAGGCCGGTCCTACAGGCCCTAGTTTTGGACTACTGCCCAGTCATGTGGTCAGGTGCCACAACAAGGGACTTAGGAAAATTACAATTGGTCCAGAACAGGGTAGCACGGCTGGCCCTTAAATGTACACGTAGAGCTGTCTGTTGAAACTACTAGCACACAGCTCAGAAACCCATGCATACCCCACAAGACATGCCGCCAAGTCCAGAACAGACTATGGGAGGCGCACAGTACTACATAGAGCCATGGCTACATCGAACTCTATTCCACATCAAGTAACTCATGCAAACAGTAAAATCAGATTTAAAAAACAGATAAAAATACACCTTATGGAACAGCGAGGACTGTGAAGAGTCACACACACAGGTACAAACACACGCATACAAACACATATAACATACACACTATACACACACGTACACCTGGATTGTGTGTTGTAGTAGAGTAGTGGCCTGAGGGCACACACTTAATGTGTTGTGAAATCTGTTGTAAAATGTTTTTTTATTTTTATATATATAATGTCATTACTGCCGTAATTTTTGCTGGACCCCAGGAAGAGTAGCTACTGCCTTAGCAGCAGCTAATGGGGATCCATAATAAATACAAATACAAATATAAATACACATGTGTAGTTCAGTTCAAAGGTACTTGACCAGAATGTCAGTAGAACCGAAACATTTGCAAAATATTGCTTTTTCAGATCACTATTAGTCTATAGTGATGATGATGATGATGATGCTGATGAAGATGCTGATGAATATGATGCTGTTACTGCTGCTGATGATGAGGAGGAGGGTGATGATGATGAATATGAAGACTAAGATGATGATGAAGATGAATATTACGATGAGGGGGAGGAGGAGGATGATGATGATGATGAAGATGATGGCGATGATGAAGATAACTAACCCTCCCATGCATGTTGTGTCCTACAGGGAAAGTCATACCCATTCAGAGGCTCCTTCCCCCCCATGTGGAACCCGTTTGCCCTTATGGACTACAACAACCTGTGGAGGAAGATGGATGAGATGGGCAGCGAGGTAAACACACACAGAATCCTTCTCTTTCTAGAGCAGCCATCCCCTCCACATCTCAGGAACAATCCCAAACCAACCTCTACTCCCTAGTCTCTAGTCATTGATACTTCTTGATGGTCCCACCCTCATGGTGTGTTTGTGTGTTCTAGATCCCCAGAGAGGCTCCATGGAGGGCTCCCCATGCTGAGGAGTGGGACAAGATGACCATGAAGCAGCTCTTTGACAATATCTGCTGGACCAGGTACTGCACTACACCATTTTTTCACAATACACACAGGACCATTCAACCTAATGCATCATTATTCAATAATATTACACTTTTTATAGTCATTGTGATTGAGTGATTATGTGTGTGTGTGTGTTATGTGTTGTGTGTGTGTGTGTTATGTGTTGTGTGTGTGTGTGTGTGTGTGTGTGTGTGTGCGTGCGTGCGTGTCTGTTTATGTGTGTCTGTGTGTCTGTGTGTGTACGCATGTGCATGCTCCTCCCTCTCCTCACAGTTCTGCGAGGCGGTTTGCCACGCTGTTTGTGAACGTTAACGTGACCTCTGAACCCCACGAGGTGTCAGCCCTATGGTTCCTCTGGTACGTCAAGCAGTGTGGAGGGACCATGAGGATTTTCTCCACCACCAACGGAGGACAGGTACTCTACACACCTGGCTGTCTACCTGTCTGTCTGGCGGTCTGACGGTCTGACAGTCTGGCTGGTTGCCTGGATGGCTGGCTGCCTGGCTTCCTTCCTGCCTGCTTGTCTGTTTGTCTGTCTGTCTCTCTGACCCTGTGGACTGGCTCTTCCATATCCATACAGGGTCCTACACGCTTTGATCTGAATAACCCTTTTTGGAAGACAAGTGTTCTTTGTAAGGCAAAGGGTTCTACCTAGAACCTTTAACATCCTAAGAACCATTTTTGGAAGAAAGGGTTATTTGATGATTCTTTGGAAGGCAAGAAGGATTATTTAGATGGCAATAAGGGTTCTTTGGAAGGCAAGAAGGGTTCTACATAGAACCATGTATTATATTTCCCAGCATGCTCTATTGCAGGGTGATTTTACGAATTGTTTGTTTTCTAAACTAATCCAATCTGTTAGTAGTTGGACTTATTGCACCCGTTACTGGGATGGTTGTTCCAGTTTAGATGATGAGGTAGTTAGTCTCAGTAGTCAATCTTCCCCTACCCTGGCAGTCATTCTGAATGCAGGTGATTAAAAACTCCACTTGTTGGATATCCTAACTCTGGCTGGATTCCAATGCCAATATAATGTGACGTGCAGGCCTGATGTGGCCTGTAAACCAGGAGTTTCCTAACATCACTGAGTTAGGGTAGAACTTCAAAGAAAGGTCTTATGATAAATGTAATTATTGTCATAAAGATTTAATTTTAAAGGCTAATAATGCTGGTGGAACCATCCATAGACGGTTCTAGGCAGAACCCTCCAAAGATAAAATTGTTCTCGGTAGAACCTTTCATAGAGGGTTCTAGGAAGAACATTTAGATGTTAAAATGGTTATTGGTAAAACCCTTCATAGAGGGTTCTAGGCAGAACCCTTCATAGAGGGTTTTAGGTACAACCATATACAGGGGTTCTATGAAGAACCCTACATAGAATGAGGAGAAGTTTTCCCTATGACATTTTTGGCTTGGGTTCTAGGTTTGCTGAGCTGAGCCTCTCTCACACAGGAGCCTTTGAACTGAGCTCAGCAAACTATCCTCCATGTTGGCACAAAACATTCCACAACAATAACGTTCTCATTTGGATTCTACTTAGATTGTCACTAACATGAAACCTCTGGTGCCAAAATGAGCCATTGTAAATCTTACCATTCCCTAGCCCTATAGAGCCATCCTTCAACCCCCCCCCAATTAGCCTTGTTCATTCCCTGCTCCCTAATTTACAGGAACAATGGCTGTTCCTCAGAGCCCAGGGAGAACCCATTATCCTGGTTTACTTTGAAACGTTGAGTGGCTCCATTGCCTAGGTGACGGTTGAAGGGGACGTCTTGGGGTAATTAGAGGATGTTGTTGTGAGGTCATCCACTTTCATTTCCTGTTTGGTCCGCCCCCTGCTCTCTGGCTCTGAATGTTTTCATTCAGTGTGTTTCTTTTCCAGGTAGAGCAATAGAGAAACCTGTGGATGCTAAAGTTTGTCATGAGTTGATATAGCATTTGCTCTCCTTTTGAGGTCAATTGCATTTGCTCCTCTTTTGAGGTCAATTGCCATGCATGCCATGCATAGCATAGTTGCATATTCTCTGCAGATAAATTGTCCTCAGTAGAGTACTGCTATGGTATGGAGATGCACGATAAAGATCCACTATACTGTAGGTCACTGTCCCAAATCCTTCTCCATCTGTTCAACTCAAAACAACTATATGTGCACATGTGTTTTGAAACAAACAACTTTTCTTAGCTGCAGGGGAAAGTATAACATCACTTACAATCATGCAGGAATTTCCCTCTGCCATCATCAGTTTTTGACCTGCCGTGAGACCCTGTAGTTATAGCTGGCCCAATGTCACAGTGGAAGGCACACAATGTGTTTCCTATCAGAGAAAGCTGAGGGAAGTTTACACTAACCATATGGAGAGGGTCAAAGGTTACTCAGCGTTGTGTACATTGTAATGTGGCCTTGCCAAGACCCACTCTCACTTTCCAATACACCCTCCTGCCTGACTGATTTCAGTTCACTACAGTTTAAATGCATGTTGTTGTACTGTCTTCTAAGGCCAGCCTAGATCAGAGGGCCACCACCCAAATGTATAACAGTTCACCACGGAAACATCAGTCAACTGTCCCAGGGGGTCTGAGTGTCTTAGAATGAGGTCTAGGTATATTTGGGGAGGCAGAAGAAGGAACAGAATAGCTGTTTCATGTCTCATAGGGTGTAAATCTGGCACTGATGTCATTAGGATAGTTGTGCAAAAAGTTTCACACTTTCTGCATGTATTCTGACGTTAGGATTCAGCCTATAGAGAATACAAAATCTTACTTTGTAAATCTTGTCAAAAGTAGTGCACTTCAGTAAAGTAGTGCACTTCAGTAATAGTAATAGACTTTTCCTGTCTTATGTTTTTCCCCAACCCTCTGGACATTACACAAACACACACATGAGAGGCTGCAAGCAGCACAGGGTCATCTACAGAGCAGCGCCCTCTTGGAGCAGGTTTGGCCTTATTAGCGTTGCATGTATTTGATTAATATGACTGATTATACTGTATTTGCATTTCAGGAGAGAAAGTTTGTGGGCGGTTCCAGCCAGATCAGTGAGTGTATGGCCAAGGAGCTGGGTGAGCGAGTCAAGATGGAGTCTCCCATCTACAGGATCGACCAGACAGGGGACATGGTCGAGGTCGAGACTCTCAACAAGGAAACATACAAGGTGACTGAGAGAGCAACCATCACCTATCCATCAACCTATGGATGATGTCGTCAGCCCACACTGTAAAAAAACGTAACTTGTTTTAACTTACTGGCACCCAGTTAGTTACCTTTAAGTTACTGTAAAAAAAAAAATACCAGTATGTTACTGTAAATTCCCAAGAAACATTGGTTTAACCTTTTTTTTTCTTCAGTAACTTACAGGTAACTAGTTGCTGTAAGTTAGCATAAAAACAAGTTACGGTTATAAAGTGCACATTCCACTGTGTTGTAGCCTACTGCTGCCATCTAGAGCTTGAATGTCCATAATACATGATACCTCATAAGGCCCATGTTGTGAATTCCTGGAACATTCTAGGAATCCTTCATTCATCCATACAACTCTGTACTTACAGGGCCCCTTAGTTTGTGTGTGTGTGCGTGCGTGCCTTTGTGCTGTGCATGCCTGCATGCGTGTGTTTGTGTGCGTTTGTGTGTGTGTGGGCGGGCGGCGGGAGTTCATGTGTGTGTGTGTGTGTGTGTCTGTGTGTGTGTAAGCCAGAGGACATTGTTGTCAGTAAGCTGGTCTTCATCGCTCTGTCCAGGCCACATCCTCTTTCCCTGTTAAAACCCATTAAGCAGCAGTGCCCTAGAGCTGCTTAGCCACCCAGGGAGGACTGGGGAGGTATACACTACACACTACATACTACACACTACACACCACATAGGCCTCAACTCTTCTCTGGTGTGTTTTGTTTCTCCCAGGCCAAGTATGTGATTGTGGCGACCCCCCCTGGTCTGAACCTGAAGATGCACTTTAACCCCGAGCTGCCCCCCCTCAGAAACCAGCTGATCCACAGGGTCCCCATGGGCTCTGTCATCAAGTGTATGGTCTACTACAGAGATAACTTCTGGAGGAAGAAAGGTAAGGAGGGAGGGAGGGAGGGAGGGTCCATGGGCTCTGTCATCAAGTGTATGGTCTACTACAGAGATAACTTGGAGAAATAAATGAAGGACTAAGTGATAGATCTCCTCTCTTCCTTTCCTCCTTATCCCTGTCTATTGATCCCTTCTCTCTCCTCTCTTCCTGTCCTCCTTCTCTCTTGTATCTCTCGCCTCCCCCTCTCACAGGGTACTGTGGCACTATGGTGATCGAGGAGGAAGAGGCCCCCATCAGCCTTACTCTGGACGACACAAAGCCTGATGGGACTGTGCCCGCCATTATGGGGTAAACACAGTGCTTTAGTTTCCTGCATCCCAATATGATTACCCATAGAGAACGAGAAAGTGTGGTAATAACTGTATTTCTCCTGTTCCTCTGCAACAGCTTCATCCTGGCCCGCAAGTGTAGGAAGCTATGTGGACTGACCAGAGAGGAGAGGTAAACTGTCTGACTGTTTATCATGTTCAGTACCTACAGTGTGTTTTACTTCACTTTCTCATGTGTATACTTTGCTAGCAGGAATGCTCATGTGTACTAGCATTAAGAGTTTAACGCTATCCCTTTCTTAACCCTTAAAAATTGTTTTTGTCCCCTGTAGGAAGAAGAGGATCTGTGAGATCTACTCCAGAGTGCTGGGCTCAGAGGAAGCTCTGCATGTGAGTGGAACCATTACTACTACTACTACTACTACTACTACTACTACTACTACTACTACTACTACTACTACAAGCTAGTAGTACTACTATTCTATGAAAACATAGCACCATACTGTAGTTAGAAGTAGAATTGTGAATTGGAATGTGCCTGTGAGATCTACTCTAGACTGCTGGGCTCAGAGAAGGCTCCATCTCAATTTAGAATTTGGCCTTCACTGCTCTGAGGGAGCAGACATGTTTGATCCATTACTGCAGATTAAAGCTAGAAACAATAACAAATTGAACACCCCGCCACTGTTTTGCTAAAAAGCTAAGGGATGGGGCTGGAGAAATATAACCACTCTCAAATTTATAGACAGCTATGGATGCAAGCACTGACCATCAATTATAGTTTTAACCATGTTTTGAGGCTATACAGTGTTTGTTTATATTTACTTTGTTTACAAACAGTGGCGTAAAACAAAGCTCATATTTTGGGTTCTGATGGGGTACAACATTAAAACATGACTATGCCATTAGAGATAAGATCAGTCAGCACCTAAAATCAGCACAGGTAATTAGCACACACACACACTGTGACACAGCTCATGAGGCATTTATACATTTATTCTTAAAAAATCAATGGGTATTCATCATTAATTTATAAGTCTAAAAATGGATGTACCAACTAAGGATTGTAGCTTTAAGTTTGATATGAGTACTAACCCCCAATCCTCTCTCTCCCAGCCTGTGCACTATGAGGAGAAGAACTGGTGTGAGGAGGAGTATTCTGGAGGCTGCTACACTGCTTACTTCCCCCCTGGTATACTCACCCAGTACGGCAAGTAAGTAACAGACACGCACACACACAGGCATACAGACACACACACACACACACACACATAAACACACACACACACACACACACACACACACACACACACTGTGATGTTATCTAACCTTTATATAACCTTTATACCTCCCCTCCTCCTTCTCTCCTTCCTCTCCCACTTCTCCTCCCTCCTTCTCTCTTTAGGGTTCTCAGGGAGCCAGTAGGCAGACTGTACTTTGCAGGCACAGAGACAGCTACTGAATGGAGTGGCTACATGGAGGGGGCTGTACAGGCAGGGGAGAGGGCCGCAAGAGAGGTGAGAGCCTTCACAATACAATAATACACTCCCCAACACTCTTAGAAAGAAGGGTTCCAGAAGGGTTCTTCGGCTGTCCCCTTAGGAGAACCCTTTTTGGTTCCAGGGAGAACCCTTTTGGGTTCCATGTTGAACCCTCTGTGGAAAGGGTCCTACATGGAACCCAAACGGGTTTTACCTGGAACCAAAAAGGGTTCTTCAAAGGGTTCTTCTATGGGGACAGCTGAATAACCCTTTTAGGTTCTAGATAGCTCATTTTCTTCTAAGTGTACATATTTATTTGGACAGTGAAGCTACAACTTTTAATTTGACTCTATACACTTAACATTTTGGATTTGAGATCAAATGTTTTATATGAGGTAACAGTATAGAATGTCACCTTTTATTTCAGGGTACTTTCATACAGTACATATCTGTTTTACCGTTTAGAAATGAATGCAATTTGTATCTAGTCCCCCCATTTTAAGATGTCATAAGTATTTGGACAAATTCACTTATAGTCTACTATATTTAGTCAAAAGTTTAGTATTTGGTCCCATATTTAAAAAGATATTGGACCAAATACTAAACTTTTGACTAAATATAGTAGACTATACGTTTCTAGCACACAAGCCTGTGACTCTACAAACTTGTTGGATGTATTTGCAGTTTGTTTTGGTTGTGTTTTTGTATTATGTTGTGCCCAATAGAAATGAATGGTACATAATGTATTGTGTCATTTTGAAGTCACTTTTATTGTAAATAAGAAAATAATATGTTTCTGAACACTTCTGCATTAATGTGAATGCTACCATGATTCCGGATAGTCATGAATGAATCGTGAATAATGATGAGTGAGAAAGTTACAGACGCACAAAGATCATGCCCCCAAAACATGCTAATCTCTCACCATTACTAATAACAGGGGAGGTTAGTAGGTAGGCTTGTGGGTAGGAGCGTTGGGCCGGTAACCGAAAGGTTGCTGAATCAAATCCCAGAGCTTCCAAGGTAAAAATATGTTGTCCTGCCCCTGAGCAAGGCAGTTAACCCACTGTTCCCTGGGCGCTGAAGACATGATAAGGCAGCCCTCTCTGATTGAGTTAAATGTGTATTCCCCCTTCAATTTTGGGGGGGGGGGGGGGGGGGGTATGATATTTATGCCTCTGTAACCTAACGTAGCAGGCGTAAAATAAATGCCTGAGCAGCGTTTTTTTATTCTGGTCCTGACAAGAGAAAACTGTCGGGGGAGGTTCTCTTCTGCACTGTTCAACCAATCCAGTAAATGTGGAGGAGGAGTTAAGATGGAGTGTCGCCTTATTAATGCAGAAATACTGGTAAACGTCCAAAAGCAAAAGTCCGTCACAGGCTCTCTTCCATTTCCCCTGAAAACCAGATGCATCCAGTTGTGGCCGACTCCGCTGAAGGTGATGCCTCTGTAACGTTGTTAAGATAATTTATTAACTAACTATTTCAGTGTCTCTGTGCGCCTCCCAAAAGGTTGTAAGGCTTTTAGATCAAGAAACGGACAGAGATCCCAGTCTGCAATAGCCAGGTGGTCTTTATTCAGAGAACTCTGCCTGGAGAATTCTGTTATCACAATTTCAGAGTCCATCTTTTATACACACATGTCATACAAAAATCCCACCCCGCTTTAGGTGGGCTGTATTTTTCCACTGGAAAACTGCTCTCCTGACCATCAGGTCACACACACACACATACATACACACACACATACAAACACACACACACACACACACACACACATGTTCTTATCATAGTCTACTCCTTGCTCGGGCAGGCTGCATTCCTTAGTTATCGCCGTCCTCTCAATATCCTGCAACATATTTCATACTCTCTTCCAAGCCTAACGGTTTCTCTCCTCCCTAAATTGGGAGGCCTCTTTATCTTGGTTTCTCAGTTGTCTGTAGACAGTTCTCCTTGTCCTTTGTTGTCTGGTCTAACTCCTACTCGCATTGCTAAATAGTAACACAATGTCATAATCTTTACTGGTCCTACACTCACACATTCTAACACATTTCACACAGTTTCAGCGTGTAATAATTAGTCATTAATAATTAGTTTAACTGAGGGTGTGACATTTTAGTCATATCTTACTCACACATTTCTTTATCAAACGTTCTCACTCATCATTATTCACGATTCATTCATGATTATACGTAATCATGGTAGCATCCACATTAATGTAGAAGTATTCCGAAACATATTCTTATCTACAATAAAACTTACTCCAAAATGGCACAATACATTATTCATCATTCATTTCTATTGGGCACAAAATAATCTGAAACCCAACCAAAACAAACTGCAAATGCATCCAACAACTTTGTAGAGTCACAAGCTTGATGTAGTCATTGCGTGCTAGGAATATGGGACCAAATACTAAACTTTTGACTAAATGTCATAGATATATAAAGTGCTTTCATTTCTAAATGGTAAAACAGATACAGTGCCTTCGGAAAGTATTCAGACCCCTTACAGCCTTATTCGAAAATGTATCAAATTGTTTTTTCCCCTCATGAATCTACACACAATACTCCATAATGACAAAACTTTTTTTGTGTGTGCTGATTTATAAAAAATACAAAACTGAAATATAACATTTACATAAGTATTCAGACCCTTTACTCAGTACTTTGTTGAAGCACCTTTGGCAGCGGTTACGGCATCGTCTTCTTGGGTATGACACTATAAGCTTGGAATACCTGTATTTGGGGAGTTTCTCCCATTCTTCTATGCAGATCCTCTCAAGCTCTGTCAGGTTGGATGGGGAGCGTTTCTGCACAGCTATTTTCAGGTCTCTCTAGAGATGTTCGATCGGGTTCAAGTCCCGAAGCCACTCCTGCGTTGTCTTGGCTGTGTGCTTAGGGTTGTTGTCCTGTTGGAAGGTGAACCTTCGCCCCAGTCTGAGGTCCTGAGCACTCTGGAGCAGGTTTTCATCAAGGATCTCTCTGTACTTTGCTTCGTTCATCTTTCCCTCGATCCTGACTAGACTCCCAGTCCCTGCCGCTGAAAAACATCCCCACAGCATGATGCGTCCAGACGTGACGCTTGGAATTCAGGCCAAAGAGTTCAATCTTGGTTTCATCAGACCAGAGAATCTTGTTTCTCATGGTCTGAGAGTCTTTAGGTGCATTTTGGCAAACTCCAAGCGGGCTGTCATGTGCCTTTTACTGAGGACTGGCTTCTGTCTGGCCACTCTACCATAAAGGCCTGATTGGTGGAGTGCTGCAGAGATGGTTGTTCTTCTGGAAGGTTCTCCCATCTCCACAGAGGAACTTTAGAGATCTGTCAGTGAGCATCTGGTTCTTGGTCACCTCCCTGACCAAGGCCCTTCTCCCCCGATTGCTCAGTTTGGCCGGGCGGCCAGCTCTAGGAAGAGTCTTGGTGGTTCCAAACTTCTTCCATTGAAGAATGATGGAGGCCACTGTGTTCTTGGGGACCTTCAATGCTGCAGACATTTTTTGGTACCCTTCCCCAGATCTGTGCCTCGACACAATGCTGTCTCGGAGCTCTACGGACAATTCCTTCAACCTCATGGCTTGGGTTTTGCTCTGACATGCACTGTCAACTGTGGGACCTTATGTGTGCCTTTCCAAATCATATCCAATCAATTGAATTTACCACAGGTGGACTCCAATCAAGTTGTAGAAACATTTCAAGGATGATCAATGGAAACAGGATGCACCTGAGTTCAATTTTGAGTCTCATAGCAAAGTGTCTGAATACTTATGTAAATAAGGTATTTCTGTTTTTACAAACATTTATAAAAACCAGTTTTTGCTTTGTCATTGTGGGGTATTGTGTGTAGATTGCTGAGATTTTTTATTTATTTAATCAATTTTTGAATAAGGCTGTAACGTAACAAAATGTGGGAATAGTCAAGGGGTCTGAATACTAGCCTCAAATAAAAGGTGACATTCTGTACATTAGCCTCATATAAAACATTTCAAATCAAATCCAATTGTATTGGTCACATACAAATTTTTTAGCAGATGTGATTGCAATTGTAGCGAAATGATTGTGTTCCTAGCTCCAACAGTGCAGTAGTATCTAACAATTCACAACAATACACGCAATCTAAATGTAAAATAATAGAATTAAGAAGTATATAAATATTAGGAGTGACATTGACTAAAGTACAGTAGAATAGAGTACAGTATATACATATGAGATGAGTAAAGCAGTATGTAAACATTATTAAAGTGACTAGTGTTCCATTATTAAAGTGGCCAGTGATTCCATGTCTGTACAGTGGGGAGAACAAGTATTTGATACACTACCGATTTTGCAGGTTTTCCTACTTACAAAGCATGTAGAGGTCTGTAATTTTTATCATAGGTACACTTCAACTGTGAGAGACGGAATCTAAAACAAAATCCAGAAAATCACATTGTATGATTTTTAAGTAATTAATTTGCATTTTATTGCATGACATAAGTATTTGATCACCTACCAACCAGTAAGAATTCTGGCTCTCACAGACCTGTTCGTTTTTCTTTAAGAAGCCCTCCTGTTCTCCACTCATTACCTGTATTAACTGCACCTGTTTGAACTCGTTACCTGTATAAAAGACACCTGTCCACACACTCAATCAAACAGACTCCAACCTCTCCACAATGGCCAAGACCAGAGAGCTGTGTAAGGACATCAGGGATACAATTGTAGACCTGCACAAGGCTGGGATGGGCTACAGGACAATAGGCAAGCAGCTTGGTGAGAAGGCAACAACTGTTGGCACAATTATTAGAAAATGGAAGAAGTTCAAGATGACGGTCAATCACCCTCGGTCTGCGGCTCCATGCAAGATCTCACCTTGTGGGGCATCAATGATCATGAGGAAGGTGAGGGATCAGGCCAGAACTACACAGCAGGACCTGGTCAATGACCTGAAGAGAGCTGGGACCACAGTCTCAAAGAAAACCATTAGTAACACACTACGCCGTCATGGATTAAAATCCTGCAGGATCTGGAGAAGGTTTGTATGGAAGAGTGGGTCAAAATCCCTGCTGCAGTGTGTGCAAACCTGGTCAAGACCTACAGGAAACGTATGATCTCTGTAATTGCAAACAAAGGTTTCTGTACCAAATATTAAGTTCTGCTTTTCTGATGTATCAAATACTTATGTCATGCAATAAAATGCAAATTAATTACTTAAAAATCATACAATGTGATTTTCTGGATTTTTGTTTTAGATTCCGTCTCTCACAGTTGAAGTGTACCTATGATAAAATTACAGACCTCTACATGCTTTGTAAGTAGGAAAACCTGCAAAATCGGCAGTGTATCAAATACTTGTTCTCCCCACTGTATATAGGGCAGCAGCCTCTAAGGTGCAGGGTTGAGTAACCGGGTGGTAGCCGGCTAGTGATAGCTATTTAACAGTGATGGCCTTGAGATAGAAGCTGTTTTTCAGTCTCTCGGTCCCAGCTTTGATGCACCTGTACTGACCTCGCCTTCTGGATGATAGCATGGTGAACAGGCCGTGGCTCAGGTGGTTGATGTCCTTGATGATCTTTTTGGCCTTCCTGTGACATCGGGTGCTGTAGGTGTCCTGGAGGGCAAGCAGTGTGCCCCCGGTGACGCGTTGGGCAGACCGCACCACCCTCTGGAGAGCCCTGCAGTTGCGGGCGGTGCAGTTGACATACCAGGCGGTGATACAGCCCGACAGGATGCTCTCAATTGTGCATCTGTAAAAGTTTGTGAGGGTCTTAGGGGCCAAGCCGAATACAGATAGGGAGAGATTGAATACGTCCGTAAACACTCCAGCCAGCTGGTCTGCGCATGCTCCGAGGACGCGGCTAGGGATGCCGTCTGGACCGGCAGCCTTGCGAGGGTTAACATGCTTAAATGTTATCCTCAAAGCGGGCGAAGAAGGTGTTTAGCTTGTCCGGGAGCAAGACGTCGGTGTCCGTGACGTGGCTGGTGTTCCCTTTGTAATCCGTGATTGTCTGTAAACCCTGCCACATACGTCTTGTGTCTGAGCCGTTGAATTGTGACTCCACTTTGTCTCTGTACTGACATTTTGCCTGTTTGATTGCCTTACGGAGGGAATAACTACACTGTTTGTATTCATCCATATTCCCAGTCACCTTGCCATGGTTAAATGCGGTGGTTCGCGCTTTCAGTTTTGCTCGAATGCTGCCATCTATCCACAGTTTCTGGTTTGTGTAGGTTTTAATAGTCACAGTGGGAACAACATCCCCTATACACTTCCTGATTAACTCTGTCACTGTGTCCGTGTATACGTCAATGTTATTCTCAGAGGCTACCCGGAACATATCCCAGTCCGCGTGATCAAAACAATCTTGAAGCATGGATTCCGATTGGTCAGACCAGCATTGAATATACCTTAGCACGGGTACTTCCTGATTGAGTTTCTGCCTATAGGAAGGGAGGAGCAAAATGGAGTCGTGATCTGATTTGCCAAAGGGAGGGCGGGAGAGGGCCTTGTAGGCATTTCGAAAGGGGGAGTAGCAGTGGTCGGTGTTTTACCAGCGCGTGTACTATAGTCAATGTGTTGATAGAACTTTGGTAGCGTTTTCCTCAAATTTGCTTTGTTAAAATCCCCAGCTACAATAAATGCAGCCTCAGGATATGTGGTTTCCAGTTTGCATAAAGTCCAGTGTAGTTCCTTGAGGGCTGTCGTGGTATCGGCTTGAGGGGGAATATACACGGCTGTCACTATAACCGAAAAGAATTATCTTGGGAGGTAATACGGTTGGCATTTGATTGTGAGGTATTCTAGGTCGGGTGAACAAAAGGACTTGAGTTTCTGTATGTTATCACTATCACACCATGAGTAGTTAATCATGAAACATACACCACTGCCCTTCTTCTTCCCGGAGAATTCTTTATTCCTGTCTGCGCAATGTACTGAGAACCAAGCTGGCTGTATGGACGGGGACAGTATATCCCGAGAGAGCCATGATTCGATGAAACAGAGTAAGTTACAGGAGATCCTTGCCCTGAGCTCGTCTACTTTATTGTCCAGAGACTGAACATTAGCGAGTAATATACTCGGAAGCAGTGGATGGTGTGCATGCCTCCTGAGTCGGACTAGAAGTCCACTCCGAATACCTCTTCTTCAAGGCGGAGTCTTGGAGCAGCCTCTGGGATAAGTTCAATTGCCCTAGGGGGTACGAACAAAGGATCCAATTCGGGAAAGTCGTATTCCTGGTCATAATGCTGGTGAGTTACTGCCGCTCTGATATCCAAAAGTTATTTCCGGCTGTATGTAATAACACAAAAAACGTTCTGGGCTAATAATGTAAGAAATAACACACAAAAAAATGATATACTGCAAAGTTGCTTAGGAGCTAGAAGCAGAGCTTCCATGTCTGCCGGCGCCATCTTACTACTTTATCTCAAATCCCAAATGCTGGTGTATATAGCGATATTAAAAGGTTTAGCATCACTGTCCAAATAAATAAATAAATAATTATTACATATACCCAAATAAAAATAAAAATTTAAATAAATGACAAAGAAATTGTGGTACACATGGTCTTGTGTATTGTTTTTGTATTGTAAAGGAATTAATTGTTGTTCCAGGTCATGTGTGTGATGGGCAGGATTCCTCAGAGTCAGATCTGGCAAACAGAGCCTGAGTCAGTGGTAAGGATTGAATGCAACCCAAAACATTGGATATTTTATGTCACATACAAACCTCAGTTAAATCTAAATGTAAAGTATCTAAAGGACATTAGTGAATGTAGACCTACCTAAGTGCCCCTATAACTCTAACTCTAACTAACTGATGAACCCTCTCTCTCTCTCTCTCTCTCTCTCTCCTCTCTCGCTCTCTCTCTCTCTCTCTCTCTCTCTCTCTCTCTCTCTCTCTCTCTCTCTCTCTCTCTGTCTCTCTCTCTCTCTCTCTCACTCACTCACTCACTCACTCACTCACTCACTCACTCACTCACTCACTCACTCACTCACTCACTCACTCACTCACTCACTCACTCACTCACTCACTCACTCACTCACTCTCTGTCTCTCTCTCACACAGGAAGTCCCAGCACTCCCATTCGTTACCACCTTCTGGGAGCGGAACCTTCCGTCGGTGGGTGGGTTCATCAACTTCCTGGGCATAGCCTCTGTCCTGTCTGTTGCCACGGCAGCAGGACTTTTGGCCTATAAGAAGGGGCTTCTCACCCGGAGCTAAACCTAAACCCCTCCCAACTCCCTCATCCTTCTCTCCTGCATCTCTACAGAGCAATTCTCCAATGGCACCCTATTCCCTTTACAGTGCACTTATTTTGACCAGAGCTAGAGTAGTGCACTACTTTTGACCACATATGGCTCTGGTCTAAAGTAATGCACTATATAGGGAACAGGGTGTGTGTCATAGGCCTTGGTAAAGACTGTTCAACTCTGTCATTCGCTACTGTACCATCGCCCCCATCCATTGTTCTAAAACGAGTGTAAACAGTCTCCCAACAGACCATCTCTCAAGACCAACTCACGCTAATGTTGTCTGTTCTGCTAAGATTTGTGTCTTTGACACCTTAGAATTGTGGCCCTGTGTAGCTCAGTTGGTAGAGCATGGCGCTTGCAACGCCAGGGTTGTGGGTTTGTTTCCCACGGGGGGCCAGTATGAAAAAAAAATATTGATGGAAGATATGAGTGGATAGAGTGAGAGGAAGAGAGAGGGGGAGAGAGCGAGCGAGAGAGAGATAGAGCAAAATAAACCAAAATAAGTCTGAGATTCAGACTCTCAAACCAATGAAGGATGACAACTAAATCAGAGTTATTGAAAAAGAAAACAGTAGCTTTCCCAATGACCGTTATCTTTCCAGAAATTGCCAATAAATTCATAAATCTGCATTGACTGTTTGAGAATAGTCAAAACTAATTTCTCTGTGTGTGTGTGTTAATTACCGCTGCTGATTTTAGGTGCTGACTGATCTGATCTCTGATGGCATAGAAGCTGTAACCAGCTCTAAGATGACATTTAGTAACGTTATAATAACAGTTTAGTAACCTCATAATAGTGTCCGAATACCTGTGTTATTAATGTAACCAGAATCCTGCATCTAGAGATGTTGTGTCTCCACCAAGCTGCTCTTAATAGTCATGGTATGCCTTGTATAGAGAATGGAAGTATTTGAATGTATTTCCTCCACATTACATGATTTCTGTCATTGTTGTTTCCATTCTTATCTCTTATGAGTATATTTGAAATATCATGCATTTCATTTTATATTTGCCATAGTTTACAATGAGGCTCGATCCTCGATGATAATCATAAACTGTATGTTGAAGATGCCCATTATACTTTGAAGTCATTTTAGAGACTATCCTTTTATTGTCTGGGTCTTAACCATTTTTAAGAATACCGAACTAAACAAAATACTAAGAATATTACTACAGTACTACAAAAATATGATATCTGGCCTCCCGAGTGGCGCAGTGGTCTAAGGCACTGCATCGCAGTGCTTGAGGCGTCACTACAGACCCGGGTTCGATCCTAGCGTCGTCTGGGTTAGGGGAGGGTTTGGTTGGCCGGGATGTGCTTGTCACATCGCGCTCTAGCGACTCCTGTGGTGGGCCGGGCGCATGCACACTGACACGGTCCGCAGTTGTATGGTGCGATTGTATGGTGTAGGGTGGGTTAAGCAAGCAGTGCGGCTTGGCAGGGTTGTGTTTCGGCAGACGCATGGCTCTTGACCTTCGCCTCTACTGAGTCCGTACGGGAGTTGCAGCTATGGGACAAGACTGTAACTACCAATTAGGGAGAAAAAGGGGTAAAAAGCCAAAACAAATAATAAAATGATATCAAAGGGTAGAGCTCCATCCATTATTTCACACAGCCTAACCCTGTGTGTTTGTGCGTGAGTACACTTCTTGTGTGTCTGTCCCTGCATGCATTCTTGTGTGTGTAATTATGGAAATACCTTATTTGTAACCATTCTATTTTAATGCTCTCGTTGCTACATGTTGAGATGCTGTATTAGATTTATCACAGAAATATGTATGGAGCTGGCTAACCATTAGCCAGTTAAATAAACACTGCCAATATTTAACCTTATGGTATTGGTTCTCCCATGTATGTCTGCTGAGGCCAGAGCATTGAGTTTCCTTCTAGCTATAGCAAATTTGACCATGATACTGAATAAATACAGTTTCACAGTATTTTCAGCAGATATAGAGCTTTTCATCCCCCAAAAAATATGTATTGAAAAGATTTCTATCCAATAAGATATATCCCTCTATTGAGTTAGTTCGTTTTTACAAAACAACAGTGGAAGACAAAGATACTGCTCCTCAGAAAATGAGTGAATTAAAAGATAAAGAAATAGATCTGTAGATCAACCAAATTATTACTCTAAGTAGATAAGAGTATGAACCTGTAAACCCATCTGTTCTGAAGCGTACTGTACATTCGTACATTGAGTGGTGGATTAACGTGGTGTCGTCCCGAAGACGTGTGCGTACGTCGTGAGTGTAGTCTGTCGTGCCTTATTACAAGTCGTGGTGGTGTTTTGTCATTTCTCAAGTGCCTGTGTGACTATGACACTCTTTTCCCGTCTCCTCCTCCCACTGTCCCCCCTGTCTTGTTTGTATGCAAGTTAATTTGGCATTAACTAGAGCTGCAACCTCATTGGCCATTCTTGGATTGAGTGTCACCCTCCTAACAATCAAGCTAACTTGATGCTACATGATGCTACAGTTAGCTTTCTACCACCATGTGTGTATGTGTGAGTCTTAAAATGGCTGACTGTGAACTGTGTAAATCCGCCCATCCGTCTCCAGTGAAGCTATTTAGGTGTTCTGTAATGTTGTTATTGATGTACTCCTCTGATAAGCTATCTATCCCTTGTCTTAGCTTAGCTTACATCCTGTCTTGGCACTAAACTTTAACCGCTACCCCCAGGCCCCAAGCATTTCATCTTTTTGCACCTGATTCGCCTCAATGTAACTTGGAGGGATTGGATAATGATCTCAAAATTCTCAAAGAAGTATAGTTGAAGTATAGTCTGTATATAATCTACATTATAAAATGGGTGGTTCGAGCCCTGAATGCTGATTGGCTGAAAGCCCTGATATATGAGACCGTATACCACGGGTATGTTACTGTTCTAATTACATTTGTAACCAGTTTATAATAGCAATAAGGCACTTCGGGGGTTTGTGGTATATGGCCAATATACCACGGCTAAGGACTGTATCCAGGCACTCCACGTCACGTCGTGCATAAGAACAGCCCTTAGCCGTGGTATATTGGCCATATACCACACCCCCTCTGGCCTTATTGCTAAAGTATATAATGGTTCTGACTGAAAACTAGTGAATGGAACTACAGGAACAACTGGAACCTTTAGAACTACAGCTCCCAGCTGCTCCCCTGATTCCCTGTATGACATCATCAGTGTCCTATAGATGCAGTAAAGAGGTCCACGGAACGCAGACCGTGGGGGATAGAAGAAGTATGCCGGATTGGCATACATTCAACAATCTGATCTAACAAAATGGAAATTCGTCAAATCTGTCATCTGTCATGTGGTTACTAAACTCAGATTTGTATATATTTGGCTGTTTTTGCTGCATAAAATTTAGAAGTTGTTTTCAGGTTTAGAAGAAGTTACTGCTAACCAAACTCCCGTTCGTATAAGCTGGTAGCATAGCTAGCATACAGAAATCGGTGGTGCTAGTCAAATTCGTTTTTAACTGCAATGCAGTTCGTTAGTGACGATGACATGAACATGTATTGGGGTTGACATCCATACAAGCATTATACTAAACATACAGTAGTGTGAAATACACATATAAACAATAGCCTAAATGTAGCCTAATTTTGCTGGGGGGCAATGAGGAGATTCAGGATCTTTCCCCCACACATTTCCATGGAGTTCCATTGACCTCTTTATCACATCTATTCCTCTCCATGTCTGGTTCTAGCCCTGAGATTGTTCTATTCTATTCTATCCCTCTCCCACTGGCTGGTTGTATGAACTGTCCAACTTTCTAGTCGTGTAATTGCATTCTTTGATGTCTTTCTCTACAAAGCTGGTGATAAAAAATGTGAAATGTACCTCCTACTGGTCTCTCTGAGTTATTTATCTCTTGTGTGCGTGTAAGACTGCAGGGCAGGATTGTGAACTAGCCAGATCAACGCATGCGAGTGAGTGAATGAGTGAGATACAGTGCATTCGGAAAGTATTCAGACACCTTGACTTTTTCCACATTTTGCTACATTACAACCTTATTCTAAAATTGATTCAATCGTTTTTTCCCCTCATCAATCTACACACAATACCCCATAATGACAAAGCATAAACAGGTTTTAGAAATTCTTCAAAATGTATTAAATATAAAAAACGGAAATATCACATTTACATAAGTATTCAGACCCTTTAATCAGTACTTTGTTGAAGCACCTTTGGCAGCGATTACAGCCTTGATTCTTCTTGGGTATGACGCTACAAGTATGGCACACCTGTATTTGGGGAGTTTCTCCCATTCTTCTCTGCATATCCTCTCAAGCTCTGTCAGGTTGGATGGGGAGCGTCGCTGCACAGCTATTTTCAGGTCTCTCCAGAGATGTTAGATCGGGTTCAAGTCCGGGCTCTGGGTGGACCACTCAAGGACATTCAGAGACTTGTCCCGAAGCCACTCCTGCGTTATCTTGGCTGTGTGCTTAGGGTCGTTGTCCTGTTGGAAGGTGAAGCTTCGTCCATGTCTGAGGTCCTGAGCGCTCTGGAGCAGGTTTTCATCAAGGATCTCACTGTACTTTGCTCCGTTCATCTTTCCCTCGATCCTGAGTAGTCGCCCAGTCCCTGCTGCTGAAAAACATCCCCACAGCATGATGCTGCCCCCACCATGCTTCACCGTAGGGATGGCGCCAGGTTTCCTCTAGACGTGATGCTTGGCATTCAAGCTTGGTTTCATCAGACCAGAGAATCTTGTTTCTCATGGTCTGAGTCCTTTAGATGCCTTTTGGCAAACTCCAAGAGGACTGTCATATGCCTTTTACTGAGGAGTGGCTTCAGTCTTGCCACTCTACCATAAAGGCCTGATTGGTGGAGTGCTGCAGTCACGCCCTGACTTTGAGAACCCTGTTATTCTCTAGTTAGTTTGGTCAGGGTGTGAATGGTGACATATCTATGTTATATATTTCTATGTTGGCCGGGTGTGGCTCCCAATCAGAGGCAGCTGTCGATCGTTGTCTCTGATTGGGGATCATACTTAGGCAGCCATTTTGCCTACCTTCAGGTGTGGGATCTTTTTTCTGTTTCTGTTTGGCTTGTTGGATGTTTAGCCTCTTGAACTTCACGTTCTGTTGGATTTTGTTATTTTGTCAGTGTTTATAATAATAAACGACTATGTATGCATACCACGCTGCACCTTGGTCCGATCCTTTACTCAACGAACGTGACAGAAGATCCCACCACCAACGGACCAAGCAGCATGGCCAGGAGGAGCAGACACCCTGGACACAGGTGGGGAAGACATTTTGGACATGGGAGGAGATATTAGCCGGTAAAGGACCCTGGGCGAAGGAAGAAGCCCAGGCAGGAGAGAATCAACGGCGACGCAGACGGTGCCGACCGCGAAGGAAGCATGAGAGGCAGCCCCAATAAAAATGTTTGGGGGGGCACAAGGAGCAGAAGGAGGCCCTGAAAGGGCTGACTGTGGAGGAAGAGGAGGCCGCTATTATAGAGGCCCTCCAAGACATACAGCTCAGCACTCTGAGAGAGGAGATAACTACTTACGGGGGCTGTTAGCTAAGAGAGAGCAGGAGAGCTCCCTTCAGAGGGAGGCGCTGCAGGAGGCCCACAAGGAGAAGGAGTCAGTGGATGCACGGAGAGAGGAGCTGGCCAGACAACAGGAGGAGCTGAGAGAGGAGTTAACCCTACGCCAGTGCGCCTTCACAGACCGGAACGGCCCGTGCCTGCTCCTCGCACCAAACCAGTGGTGCGTGTATCCAGTCCTGTACGGCCCGTACCTGCTCCTTGCACCAAACCAGTGGTGCGTGTCGCCAGCCCGGTACACCCCGTACCTGCTCCTCGCACCAAACCAGTGGTGCGTGTCTCCAGTCCTGTACGGCCCGTCCCTCCCTCCACTCGCGCTAAACCAGAGGTGCGTGTTGCCAGCCCGGTGCGCCCCGTACCTGCTCCTCGCACCAAACCAGTGGTGCGTGTCTCCAGTCCTGAACGGCCCGTACCTGCTCCTCGCACCAAACCAGTGGTGCGTGTTGCCAGCCCGGTACGCCCCGTACCTGCTCCTCGCTCCAAACCAGTGGTGCGTGTCCCCAGCCCGGTAAGGCCCGTGCCTGCTCCTCGCACCAGACAAATGGTGCGTGTCCCCAGCCCAGTGCGCCCCGTGCCTGCTCCTCGCACCAGACCAGTGGTGCGTGTCCCCAGCCCGGATCGGCCCGTTCCAGTGCCTGAGCAGTCCGCTCCACCGGTGCCCAGTCCAGCTCTGGTCAGCTGCTCCACTCCAGTGCCAGAGCAGTCCGCTCCACCGGTGCCTAGTCCAGCTCCGGTCAGCTGCTCCAGTCCAGTGCCAGAGCAGTCCGCTCCACCAGGGTCCAGTTCAGCTCCGGTCAGCGGCTCCAGTCCAGTGCCAGAGCAGTCCGCTCCACCGGGGTCCGAGCCGGAACCAGACGTCAACCCCTCTCCAGGATTGGGGCCTCCCACACCAGGGTCCAGACAGGATGGTGCATCACGGGAGGACTGCCGAGCCGGAACCAGACGTCAACGCCTCTCCAGGGTCGAGGGCTCCCACACCAGGGTCCAGACAGGGCTTGGTGCATCATGGGAGGGGAAGCATCGCGCCGGGGTCCAGACCAGACCAGGTGTGCTACGGGAGGCAGGAAAGGAGAGGAGTTTACGGCGTCCGAAGCCGGAGCCGCCACCGAGGCTAGATGCCCACCCGGACCCTCCCCTAATAAGTCAGGTTTTTTTTTGGGGGGGGGGGGGGGGGGTACTGTCACGCCCTGACCTTGAGAACCCTGTTATTCTCTAGTTAGTTTGGTCAGGGTGTAAATGTTGACATATCTATGTTATATATTTCTATGTTGGCCGGGTGTGGTTCCCAATCAGAGGCAGCTGTCGATCGTTGTCTCTGATTGGGGATCATTCTTAGGCAGCCATTTTGCCTACCTTTAGGTGTGGGATCTTGTTTCTGTTTGGCTTGTTGGATGTTTAGCCTCTTGAACTTCACATTCTGTTGGATTTTGTTATTTTGTCTGTGTTTATAATAATAAACGACCATGTATGCATACCACGCTGCACCTTAAAGGTCAGATCCTTTACTCAACGAATGTGACAGCTGCAGAGATGGTTGTCCTTCTGGAAGGTTCTTCCCATCTCCACAGAAGAACTCTGGAGCGCTGTTAGAGTGACAATTGGGTTCTTGGTCACCTCCCTGACCAAGGCCCTTCTTCCACGATTGCTTAGTTTGGCCGTGCGGCCAGCTCTAGGAAGAGTCTTGGTGGTTCCAAACTTCTTCCATTTAAGAATGATGGAGGCCACTGTGATCTTGGGGACCTTCAATGCTACAGAAATGTTTTAGTACCCTTCCCCAGATATGTGCGTCGACACAATCCTGTCTCGGAGCTCTACGGACAATTTCTTCGACCTCATGGCTTGGTTTTTGCTCTGACATGCAGTGTCAACTGTGGGACCTTATATAGACAGGTGTGTGCCTTTCCAAATCATGTCCAATCAATTGGATTTCCCACAGGTGGACTCCAATCAAGTTGTAGAAACATCTCAAGGATGATCAATGGAAGCAGGATGCACTTAGCTCAATTTCGAGTCTCATAGCAAAGGGTCTGAATACTTATGTAAATAAGGTATTTCTGTTTTTTATTTGTAATAGATTTGCTAAAATTTATAAAAACCTGTTTTCGCTTCGTCATTATGGGGTATTATGTGTAGATTGATGGGGAAAATATATAATTTAATCAATTTTAGAATAAGGCTGTAACGTAACAAAATGTGGAAAAAGAGAAGGGGTCTGAATACTTTCCGAATGCACTGTATATAAGCTAGTAACCTTGGACTGTAGTCTGTGGTCTCCAGATGTTGACCCTATAGACCTGTTTCTACCTTGAGCTAACATGCTTCCTTTGTCCTGATCTTGTCCACTTTCTGATTGTGCCCACATGTTTAGACAGGTGTAGACGATTAAAAGACGCATTGTGATCTGATTTTGATCAGATCTTCCTGACCACCTCTGGAGGTAGTTAGGGACCCGTTGTATTTGGATATTAATGAAGTGTAAACAGATCTGGACAGTCAAACTCTTTAAATCATTATACTGGCCTTTAAAATCATTGACAGGTAGCACAATTGACTGATGGCATCAATAATTGTCTTAAAAAATACATTTTGAAAGAACAATTGTCAAATAATTTGGGCAGCAGGAAATTTGTTCACAATGCGGACACAGTGGACGGAAAAGAGACACATTTTAATACCATGTGTAGATGCGACAAACCTTGACCAGATAGTGATTGGATCATATTGATCAGATCATGAAAGCCACATGTTAATGCAAGGTGTAAACAAGGCCTTAGTCTGAGTCCAGTGTTAAGTGTCTGTCTGGCAGGCTGGCTGGGATCTAATGGTTGGGCAAGGTCAAGCGTACACAACAGGCTACAGTACATCTAGCTTCCACACAGAGGCAGTAGCCAGTCACAAATGAAGCTCTATCCCAGGGGAGAACGACCACCTCCTCTCATTGACCATGTTTGCATGTGCACAGTATTCCGGATAGTAGCTCATATCCGCTTAAGGTCTTATTCGGGATAAGCTGTTTACATGCACCTTTGATATCCCGCTCACGAGTATCTCTGTATCCATGTATAAACAGAATATTGCTAATTTAAGTTCATATGGGTTAAATGGAATAGTAACTGAAATATGGACACTGACTGTAGGCCTATAACCTCTCACATGTAGCATAATATAATATTAACTCCTGCTGAATTATGCATTTCTTGCAGTAAAATGATACAAGAAATGTTAATTTTGTCTCGGGAACAGGAGTGGAGATATATTATTTATTTATTTCAGCATCACTTGAGAAAATGTGAATGCACGTGTAATTACATTTACATTTTAGTCATTTAGCAGACGCTCTTACCCAGAGCAACTTACAGTTAGTGAGTGCATACATTTTCATACTGGCCCCCCGTGGGAAACGAACCCACAACCCTGGCGTTGCAAGCGCCATGCACTACCAACTGAGCTACAGGGGACTGTAATATATTTGACACTGTCATGCAAGCAGACAGTATTTCAACCACATAAAATATGCGCCCAAGACAAACTGACTGTCTTATCAGCCCAGTCCAAGATCTTCTCTGTCCTGGCACCCCAAAAGTGGAACCAACTTCCCCCTGAAGCTAGGACAGCAGAGTCCTTGCCCATCTTCCAAAAACATCTGAAACCCTACCTCTTCAAAGAGTCCTTGCCCACACACACACACACACACACACACACACACCATCTTCTCAAATAAATAAATACATAAATAAATCCTTTCCTGATCTAATACTCACACTTGACTTTTTTTCTTACTAGCTCAGATTTTGCTGATAGCTACTTTATTGAAGAAAAGTTTACTTACTATGACTGTGATATATGGTTGTCCCACCTAGCTATCTTATGAGGAATGCACTGGATAGATTACTAATGCTCTGGATAGATTACTAATGCATTCATTCTATCAATGTAAGGCATTATTCTGGTGAGCACTACTTTATTTAGTCTTCTAGGGCAACAAGTTATGACAGAAGAGAAGCTGCATGTATCTAACTATAGTTGACAAACAAATGGCCTACCAAATGTCTGAAATTATAAACAGAAACTTGGCTAAATTAGGGTTGAAAGTAGACAGTATACTATATGGTCCAGTACAGAATCTCAGCAAAATAAATTATTATGGAATTATTATGGTAGATCAAAATGTGCAGGTAGCCTACTTTTTGAAGGGATTTGTTTGACAATCAGATGAAAACATCATCACACAACACCCATGATATGTGAAACTTAGCCTGCGCAGACCACGAAAAACAAGAGTAAATTAGATAAGATGTTTACATGCCACAGTATCCCATAAAAGATAAGCATATCCAAAGCATCTTATCCAGGTTTCTCATAACTGGGATAGAAGCTTTTTCGGGTTATTGTAAACGGGATATGATGTTTATATGCGTCAACTCAAAAACAGAATACTTGAGTATCCCAAATAATAAGGAGATATTGGTGTGCATGTAAACATGGTCATTGAGGATTTTAAGATCAAAGCCTACCGGGGTACTGCAGGCAATGTTTTCAGAAAGCAGAATCCGTCATTATAGTCAATGGGAGTATAGCGATCTTCATGGTCAATATTCGTGGATATACAAGTTTTCCAAACACAATCATGGGACCAATACTTGCTTTTATTTCACCAGATGTATGTCCTTGAACCAATTATTTTAAAACCGCACACAGAAGAAGTTGGAAGCACAATGTGCAGCCTGCAGTACCCCGGTCTGCCTTCAACTTGAGATACTCGATGAGAGGGGGCAGCACTGAGCTAGTCTACAACGTCACTTCCTAGAGTAGCTCAAACTGAGCATGCAACGTTTCCAAAAAGTCCTCCATGAAGCAAGATGGCGACACGTTAACTGATCTTCAAATGCGCCACTGAGACTTCACATAGGGAACAATGGTCATCAATGACTTTGTCCATTCTTTTTACAGTCTATGCTACTGCTGAGCGATTAACCAAAATGTAGGTTATTTTTCGGTTTTAAACAACTAATTGACAGAGAAGTCGGTTCAATTATTTGAATTCCATTTCTTTTTTTCTTTTTTTCTTCAATGTGCAGTTTCTGTAGAGATAAATCAGATCAAGCCTGAACTGTGCGATGTAGTAGGGAGTCATAGTTTACAACAGGCCCATATTCTACAGTTTAGTGCAGAAAACGTGCTAATTGACTACAATGACTATAATCGATTGTGTGCCCGCTTAAACTTTCCAGTCTGTGCGGAGCTGTCACGATCGTCTTGAAATGAAGCGGGCCAAGGCGCAGCGTGAGATGCGTACATATTTATTACTTGTACAAAACAGCGAACAAAACAACCAACGATACGTGAAGTCCTTCGACACAAAACACAAATCAAAAGGAACAAGAAACCACAACCACAAAGTGAAAACAGACAGTTTAAATATGGCTCCCAATCAGAGACAACCAGAAAACAGCTGACACTCGTTGCCTCTGATTGGGAGTCACTTAGGGCAACACAGAAAACAACAACCTAGAAAACCCAACATAGAAACAACCCACACAGAACGAACACACCCTGGCTCAACATACAGAGTCCCGGAGCCAGAGCGTGACAGGAGCAAACATGGAGACTGAGAGAAGAGAGAACACAAGATCGAGAGGGATGGAAAGCAGTTGCTTTGCGAGCCTGAAAATGCATGATCTAAGTGATTGATAGTTGGCATTCAGCAGTCATAAAAGTATGCCTTATTTACTTTGAAGAACTACTAAAATAGTGATTTTGTCAGACAGCATAGGCAGCAGCTCTATAGAGATGAGATGACTTGGAATTAAATAAAACAAATATTTTATTAAAGTAATGTGAATACATGATGGTTAATAAGTGATAAGCAGTAATGGGCAGTCACTACTATCATGGGACTTATATTAATTGTTTTATTCTGTGTTAGAGCATTCAACCCACATAATGCATAGTTCATTTAATGTCTAAAACAATAATCAAAATCACGAAAACCGTGATTATTTTTTTTATAATCAAACCGAAACCGAACCGACCTAAAAAAGTACTAATCTCTCAGCACTAATCTATGCTCTATCCCTGGGCTGAAAGATGGCAGAGGGACATCATTCAACACACACTTTTTCCAGTTCATCATTGATGTACACTGAGTATACCAAACATTAGGAACACCTTCCTAATATTGAGTTGCATGGACGTCGAATACTGACTTGTATCATGGGTGACCTGGCTGGAAAAACCCAGCAGTGTTGCAGTTCTTGAAACAAACCATTGCAACTGGCACCTACTACCATACCCCGTTCAAAGGCACTTCAATCTTTTGTCTTTTCCATTCATCCTCTGAATGGCACACATACACAATTCATGTCTCAATTGTCTCAAGGCTTAAAAATGCTTCTTTAACCTGTCTCCTTCCCTTCATCTACACTGATTGAAGTGGATTTAACAGATGACATCAATAAGGGATCATAGCTTTCACCTGAATTCACCTGGTCAGTCCATGTCATGGAAATCGCATTCTTAATGTTTTGTACACTCAGTGTATATCTCCAGTTCAACATCCCACTGACATGTTGAAAAACAAACTACACCTCTTTTAAACCCTTCCTTCTGTCTCTCTTTTATCCTGTTATGCACTGGAGAGTTCTGCTTATCTCTGCGGCTACAGTCTCCAGTTCAGTGTGTGTGTGTGCGTGCATGCGTATGCGTGCGCGTGTCTGTCTGTCTGTCTCTCACCCAGAACCTCAGTTCAAAGAGGCATCAGTGTTCTGCAGAGATAAGGAGCAGCACAGGATGACACATATCTGTATAACAACAACACTTTGAAGGTGGCATGACCAAAAAACTACTGTGTGAAAACCAAACTTCACATGCTAACCTCTCAGTTAAGAAGGATTATAAAGTCAATGGGTTATTGAAAGACCCTGATCTTAAAGATGGAATCAGTTGTTATGGTTTTTGGGTCGTTCCACGAAATGAGTGCCTTTTGCGTCCCTTTGATATACCTCATGGCAAATTCAATAAATCAGATTTTTTTATATGAATACAGACTTGCTAAAGTGACAAAATTCAGCATTTTGACATGTCCCTCTGTGCATCCTCTGTGACTTCTAGGAAGATTTTAACCCCAAAGTTTTCACCATCATTGTAAAGCTCTAGTTATTTTGTTGCTTTGACAAAGTCATTTCTGAAGTTTACTATTTATTTCATGTGATTAGTGATTCATTTGAAGAAAAAAAAAACTTTAAAAAAAACTGTCCCTCACTTCAAGGTCAACCCTGTTATGTAAACTTAACTCTCTCGTTAATATGGTGAAACTATTTCTTGTAAAAAATGTTTTGAAAACACACATTCAAAATCTAATAGTCAAATCATAGGTGAGCTGGTTCTACAATTTTTTGCAATTCTCTGGTGTTTTTTGGTGGAAAACTGAGCGGGAACACCTCAACCTTGTTACCCATAGATAAAGTGCATTCTAAAAGTATTCAGACACCTTCACTTTTTCCACATTTTGTTACGTTACAGCCTTATTCTAACATGGACTAAATAAATACAAATCCCCATCAATCTACACACAATACCCCTTAATAACAAAGTGAAAACAGGTTTGTTGAAATTTTAGCAAATTTTAGCAAAAAAACAGAAATACCTTATTTACATAAATATTCAGACCCTTTGATATGAGACTCGAAATTGAGCTCAGGTGCATCCTGTTTCCATTGATCATCCTTGAGATGTTTTTTTTTTTTTTTTTTTTTTTTTGGGGGGGGGGAATGGATCAGCTTAATATTGCAGATAGATTGTATCTTCTATCAATGTAATTGTCTGCATCACTTCCAATCCCCCATGTTTTTTTTTTTTTTTATATATATACTCCCCTTTATTACTTTTCAACCCCACCATCCTTTCCCTACTTGGAGTAAATTAGTGAACAACAATGCCCAGGCCTCTACTTCCGGTCTATACTTACTATCTACACCTTATGGACAGAGTTAATTTTACAATAATTCTATTATATATATATATATACATATATATTTTTTTTTTTCTTTTTTTTGCTCCTGAACTTCTTCTACTCTCAACCTCTCCGATCATTTTCATTGTGTCCATCCGGTTTGCTTCTATATGCCATATCTTTCTAACTGTGCTCCTTCCCAAAAGCTCCCAACATACAACCTATATACTTATTATGGACACAGTATGCTTACATTATTAGCTATCTTTGTTATTATTTGTTGTTATTTGTTATTAGTCCCATCCTTCAACTCTATTCAATACCTCCCATCTATCTCTTAACACCATCCATATAGGATTTCTATTTGCCATATATATTTCAACCGTACTGTGATGTTTTACAAAAATTCTGAACCTTTCTATTCTCATTGCTTCTACAGATTGTGAATTAAAAATAAACATTTTTGCTAAAAGTATTATTATATTATTGATTTTTCCACAAATTGACAGGTATTTTCCTTTCCATGGTAGTAAGATCTTATCTATTTTTGCTAACTTTCTATTAAAATTTATTGAAGTGAGATCATTTATTTCCTTTGGGATATGTATTCCGAGTATATCCACATCACCATCAGACCATTTTATTGGTAAACTACATGGTAATGTAAAAGTTGTATTTTTTAGTGATCCAATACGTAATATAGTACATTTGTCATAATTTGGTTGTAATCCAGAGAGGTTAGAACATGTATCTAGATCCTCTATGAGGCTGTGGAGGGATTCTAGTTGTGGATTTAAAAGAAAACATGAATCATCAGCGTACAATGACACCTTTGATTTTTAAGCCCTGTATTTCTAATCCTCTGATATTATTATTGGATCTGATTTTAATAGCTAACATCTCGATGGCCACAATAAATAGATATGCCGATAGTGGACATCCTTGTTTCACTCCTCTTGAGAGTTTAAAACTTTCTGAGAAATAGCCATTATTTACTATTTTACACCTAGGGTTACTATACATGATTTTGACCCATTTTATAAGAGATTCTCCATCCTCATCCTTGAGATGTTTCTACAATTTGATTGGAGTCCACCTGTGGTAAATTTAATTGATTGGACATGATTTGGAAAGGCACACACCGGTCTATATAAGGTCCCACAGTTGACAGTACACGTCAGAGCAAAAACCAAGCCATGAGGTCGAAGGAATTGTCTGTAGAGCTCTGAGACAGGATTGTGTCAAGGCACAAGGCAATGATTCTGCAGTATTGAAGGTCCCCAAGAACACAGTGGCTTCCATCATTCTTAAATGGAACCACCAAGACTCTTCCTAGAGCTGGCCGCCCGGCCAAACAGAGCAATCGGGTGAGAAGGGCCTTGGTCAGGGAGGTGACCAAGAACCTGATGGTCACTCTAACAGAGCTCCAGAGTTCCTCTGTGGAGATGGGAGAACCTTCCAGAAGGACAACCATCTCTGCAGCACTCCACCAAGTGGAGTTTGCCAAAAGGCACCTAAAGGACTCTCAGACCATGAGAAACAAGATTCTCTGATCTGATGAAACCAAGATTGAACTCTTTGGCCTGAATGCCAAGCGTCACGTCTGGAAGAAACCTGGCACCATCCCTACGGTGAAGCATGGTGGTGGCAGCATCATGCTGTGGGGAGGTTTTTCAGTGGCAGGGACTGGGAGACTAGTCAGGATCGAGGGAAAGATGAACTGAGCAAAGTACAAAGAGATCCTTGATGAAAACCTGCTCCAGAGCGCTCAGGACCTCAGACTGGGGCAAAGGTTCACCTTCCAACAGGACCACGACCCTGAGCACACAGGCAAGACAACGCAGAAGTGGCTTCGGAACAAGTCTCTGAATGTCTTTGAGTGGCCCAGCCAGAGCCCGGACTTGAACCCGATCGAACATCTCTGGAGAGACCTGAAAATAGCTGTGCAGTGACGCTCTCATCCAACCTGACAGAGCTTGAGAGGATCTGCAGAGAAGAATGGGAGAAACTCCCCAAATACAGGTGTGCCAAGCTTGTAGCGTCATACCCAAGAAGGCTCGAGGCTGTAATCGCTGCCAAAGTTGCTTCAACAAGTACTGAGTAAAGGCTCTGAATACTTACGTAAACGTGATATTGACGTTTTTAAATTTTTTATAAATTTGCAAAAATTTCTAAAAACCTGTTTTTGCTTTGTCATTATGAGGTATTGTCTGTAGATTAATGAGGGGGGAAAACAATTGAATCCATTTTAGAATAAGGCTGTAACATAACCCAAGAAGACTAGAGGCTGTAATCGCTGCCAAAGTTGCTTCAACAAGTACTGAGTAAAGGCTCTGAATACTTACGTAAACGTGATATTGACGTTTTTAAATTTTTTATAAATTTGCAAAAATTTCTAAAAACCTGTTTTTGCTTTGTCATTATGAGGTATTGTCTGTAGATTAATGAGGGGGGAAAACAATTGAATCCATTTTAGAATAAGGCTGTAACATAACCCAAGAAGACTAGAGGCTGTAATCGCTGCCAAAGTTGCTTCAACAAGTACTGAGTAAAGGCTCTGAATACTTACGTAAATGTGATATTGAAGTTTTTTATTTTTAATACATTTGCAAAAATGTCTAAAACCCTTTTTTTTCTTTGTCATTATGAGGTATTGTCTGTAGATTAATGAGGGGAGAAAACAATTGAATCCATTTTAGAATAAGGCTGTAACATAACATTTTTTACATTTACATTTACATTTTAGTCATTTAGCAGACGCTCTTATCCAGAGCGACTTACAGTTAGTGAATACATATTTTTTTATACTGGCCCCCCGTGGGAATCGAACCCACAACCCTGGCGTTGCAAACGCCATGCTCTATCAACGGAGCTACATCCCTGCCGGCCATTCCCTCCCCTACCCTGGACGACGCTGGGCCAATTGTGCGCCGCCCATGAGTCTCCCGGTCGCGGCCGGCTGCGACAGAACCTGGATTCGAACCAGGATCTAGTGGCACAGTTAGCACTGCGATGCAGTGCCTTAGACCACTGCGCCACTCAGGAGTAATGTGGAATAACAAACATTTCCACAAAATGTGGAAAAGGTCAAGGGGTCTGAATACTTTCCGAATGCACTTTATCTATGGGTAACAAGGTTGAGGTGTTCCCACTCAGTTTTCCACCAAAAAACACCAGAGAATTGCAAACAATTGTAGAACCAGCTCACCTATGATTTTACTATTTGATGTTGAATGTGATTTTTTTGTAACTATTTAAATGTTTTAGTGAAGCTTGTATTAATTTGCCCCTCCCTGTTGCACACAATATTTAAGATGAAGTCATCAAGTCTGTTTAGGTCAACCCTGTTACTTTATTTGGCTCTTAAAATTACTATAGTAACCACTTGAGATGGGAAAAAGTGTTTTTTATTAAGTTGCACATGTGCTCTTTATGACAGAATATTAAAATTAGGTGAAATCTTGTTCTTTTTTTTTTATACCAAGTTACATTACTCAAAAGGCACCTAATTGGTGGAACAACCCTTTTGTTGCCGAGCTGAGGAGCGTCACGCAGCATGAAAAAGAAATGTGCTGTACATATTGTGCTCTTCTATCGCGTGTGCAAGGGACAAAACAGTGTTCGTTGTTTGCAGTAACTTCTTTGTTGTTGTAATATCGCAAATGGATGTTTCACCATTAAGGATTCCAGCTTTAAGAATAAGAAAGTATTGTTTTTGTCAGCCAAGGGAAAGTCACTGATGCTGAACAGAACTCCCAAATGGGTATGCACAAGAAACATTGGTTATAGGAAATAAAACCAGTATTGCATTATTCAACAATAACCCTTTTCACACAAATTGTCTTTTTACATACGTCGCCCTTTTCGGCATGGTTCCAGCAACTATAGTCGATACACTGTAAAGGGGTTACGGTGATTTGACAGTAGCTTACAGACAGCTCGGTGGCAAGTAAAAATCTGCATTTCATATTACATTACATCCACTGTAATATAAATACAGTATCAAAGCAAGTACTGTGTAATGACACACAGTACACACAGGTAGGGGTTTGTATTTTACAGTATTTTACTGTAATTACAAGGTATTGGTGCAAGCAGGTTGGCTGCTAGGTAAAGTGTTTACAAACATTACAGCATGTTAATGAATATTTAGTATTTTATATAACTTGCACTTCTAGAGGCCTTAACAAAGGCTTCCAAACTGACAGCAACTACAGGGCAAAACAGACCAACATTGCTCAAATTCTACATTTTAGTCATTTAGCAGACGCTCTTATCCAGAGCGACTTACAGTTAGTGAGTGCATATATAAATTTTTTCATACTGGCCCCCCGTGGGAATCGAACCCACAACCCTGGCGTTGCAAACACCATGCTCTACCAACTGAGCTACACAGGACAACCATTTAAGGTTGAAGATTGCTGCCACTCCAATCTGTTCCCTATACATTTTAAATTGCTGTGGCACTATAACCACATAGGAGTTGAATTGGTACAGCATTCTCACTCACAGGTACAACAAATATAGCCTCTTACAAGGAACACCTCCAAATATGTTAATGAGCCAGAAACAACGATACCATGCACCCACTAGTGGTCAAAAGGTTTTTGGAGCTCCAAAAATACAGTAAGGTACTGTATTCTGTGGGGTAAAGAATTTCAGTACCATTCGAAATACAGCAATTCTTTCCCCGTCCACAACATTTTCCCACAATGCACCATAAGTTACAGTATGCTGCAGTAAAACGTTTCAGAGTATTTTATTGTTGATAATACAAAAAGTTTATATATTTTTTTACATTTTTCCATTATGGTGTATGTAACCAGGCCAGCTCAGTACACTTGGTTTGACTGTGCTCATTCTGGCTCAAAAGTGTGAAAATACCCTGTATTTCCTTGTTTTTAGGGGGGTGATGTTTGGAGGAACAAAAATCCTATACTGCTCAGTGTAATCTAACAATACCTCTTCAGGGTGTGAATAAGAGATCTCATGGATGGCTCTTCTCACCCCTGCAGTTCACAGAGACCCAAGGGAAACCCTGTACACTGGCTTCAAACCTGCAGATGAGAAACCAATCTAATGTTCCAGCTCAGAATGGGGACATTCAGCAGGAGATTGGAGGAGATGTCAGCACCTGAGTGAAGCATAGGGAAGGCAGGGGGAGACATGGGGGAGACATTGGGGGGGCAGGGTGGAGACATGGGGGAGACATGGGGGAGGTAGGGGGGGGACAGGGGTGAGACAGAGGGGAGTCAGGGGGGAGAATGGGTGCTTAAGACTGGAGGTGGATGGATATTGGATGGTGGTTGCCTAGGCCACAGCCCAGGGCCCTGAGGCTCTGAGGCCTTATTAAACACTGTTTTATGAATCTGCTCCATCGGCTGACGGATTGGGAGGCAAATTGGCCGTGTCAGATTTCATATCACAGCTGGAGCTATGGAGCTGGGCTATAGTCTAATAAGGTGGGGATTGTGGTGTGTGTGTGTGTGTGTGTGTTACTATAAGTGTATGTTTTCAGGTGCATTTGTTTTTGTCTTTACAACTGATATGAATGCAGAAAAATATTTTAACGTGTAAACACCATCTCCTCATAATCCATCACAAAGACAAGAACATGTTAATAGTGTTGTCAGTCTTGCCACAGCCAAGTTCCTGATAGGCCATATGGCAGTCAGAGTATTCTCTGTTACATAAACCCACTGCAGTCTCACAAACATATGCCCAGAGCGTATTAAAGCTCTTTGCCGGAAACCCAAGTCTCAGTAACTAAGCCAGATTACACACACACACACACACACACACACACACACACACACACACACACACACACACACACACACACACACACACACACACACACACACACACACACACACACACACACACACACCACCCCAATCTGTGAATACACAACCTTCTAGCTGTCAAAGATGAGACTGGAGTGTTGTGATCAAGCAGAAAGTGACATCAGTGCAGTATGTTGTATCACAACCCAGAACATTTACTCAGACACACCATGACTGATCTAAAACCAGTCTTTATGGTTTAAACAGAGAGCGGGACATTCACTCAGAAACACCATGACTGATCTAAAATCAGTCTTTATGGTTTAGACAGAGAGCAGGCCATTCACTGGAGGAGGCAAGCCCTCTTGCCGTGCCCTTCCAGCACCTTCCCTGTTGGGCGGCTAATGGAGCCCAGCTGAGGGTAATAAGTCAATCAAGTGTGTGATTGGCTAGACAATCAGCCCCAACAGTTGATTAGGCTGCTGCTGTTCCCATTTGAGGGAGAGGACTGGAGATGGCAGCAGACAGGTTGGGGCCGAAAGACTCGCAGCGGCAGATAATGTTTGTTATTTGAAGTTACACTTTAAGTTTCTTATTTGTAAGCATTTTTGTTGGTCAATTATGAAATAAAACTTCAGTTTGAACCATTTACTCTGCCTCGCTGAGCCTCTGTACCCTTAGACCCACTTAGCTCTGGTCTGTGGCAGTGGCCCATCCCCAGGCTCTGTCACAGCAGACCATTCACTCAGAAACATATTGACTGATGTAGAACTGAGTTTGTGAACTGTTATTGTACTCCTGAGTGGCGCAGTGGTCTAAGGCACTGCATCGCAGTGCTAACTGTGCCACTAGAGATCCTGGTTCGAATCCAGGCTCTGTCGCAGCCGGCCGCGACCGGGAGACTCATGGGCGGCGCACAATTGGCCCAGCGTCGTCCAGGGTAGGGGAGGGAATGGCCGGCAGGGATGTAGCTCAGTTGATAGAGCATGGCGTTTGCAACGCCAGGGTTGTGGGTTCGATTCCCACGGGGGGCCAGTATAAAAAAAATATGTATTGACTAACTGTAAGTCGCTCTGGATAAGAGCGTCTGCCAAATGACTAAAATGTCAAATGTAAATGTTATTGTACGTCATATTCCATTGAGAAGGTGTATGTTTTTCTAGACAGTGGTATTCTGCATATGCACTTGTATAGTAGTAGAAGTTGTTTATTTTGACTGAAATGGAAGTTATAAGATTGTTGATCAATTGGAGTATGCTTAATACATTTGATTTAGTTAATTCAAAGTAATCCATCTCTTCTGAAGCACGGCACTAAATACAAATGAACAATTAGCACATATTAACTAAGTAATGAGGATAAGTCGATTAGAAAATGTGTGTGTGTGAGAGAGAGAGAGACAGAGAGAGTGTGCATATTAGAGTGCGCACATGCTTTGGTGTGTATGTGTGGTGTGTTTACTTGAGTGACTGCTGTATCAATGCTAGCATTCCTCTTTTCTGTCTCTTCCACCTTGCAGTGCAGCGCCCAGTGCAGCCAGCGCCCAATGAGCAGTTTAGGGGGTTAAAGGAATACTTCGGGATTTTGGCAATTCTACAGATGAACTCATGGATGCCATTTGTATGTCTCTGTTTCCACTATGAAGAAAGTTAGAGGTAGTTTCGCGAGCCAATGTGGTATCTGCTAGCTAACGCTATTTAGCAATTACGCTAGCACTAATTAGCAGCTTCCTTCAAACTGCACACAGAGACATAAAAATGGTATCCACAAGTTCATCCGACTCTTGCTCAAGGGAGCATTGGCGGTAGGTGGCACCTGAGATATTGATATCAGCAACCCTCTGGGGGGTGTACTTTTGGCAGCATTAGAATCGTCGTGGTTATGGTAAAGCCAATAGGGGTCCAGGAGCCCCATATGGAAAAGTAACTGATGGCAATATATGTATATTACTTATATGTTTTATATGGGCATATATGGTGGAAACATATATGCCCATATCTGCTTATATATGTATCCACACATATATTTTTGAAATATACAAGAATTGGCCGTTTTCATATATGTGACAATTGTTTATGCCTTATATACACATAAATGTGGATATACACTACCGTTCAAAAGTTTGGGGTCACTTTGAAATGTCCTTGTTTTCGAAAGAAAAGCAATTTTTTTGTTGATTAAAATAACATAAAATTTATCAGAAATACAGTGTAGACATTGTTAACGTTGTAAATGGCTATTGTAGCTGGAAACGGCTGATTTTTTATGGAATATCTACATAGGCGTACAGAGCCCCATTATCAGCAACCATCAGTCCTGTTTTCCAATGACACGTTGTGTTTGCTAATCCAAGTTTATCATTTTAAAAGGCTAATTGATCATTAGAAAACCCTTTTGCAATTATGTTAGCACAGCTGAAAACTGTTGTGCTGATTAAAGAAGCAATAAAACTGGCCTTCTTGAGACTAGTTGAGTATCTGGAGCATCAACAATTGTGGGTTCGATTACAGGCTCAAAATGGCCAGAAACAAATAACTTTCTTCTGAAACTGGTCAGTCTACTCTTTTTTCTGAGAAATTAAGGCTATTCCATGTGAGAAATTGCCAAGAAACTGAAGTTCCCGAACAACGCTGTGTACTACTCCCTTCACAGAACAGCGCAAACTGGCTCTTACCAGAATAGAAAGAGTAGTGGGAGGCCCCGGTGCACAACTGAGCAAGAGGACTAGTTTGAGAAACAGGCGCCTCACAGTTCCTCAACTAGCAGCTTCATTAAATAGTACCCGCAAAACACCAGTCTCAACATCAACAGTGAAGAGGCGACTCCGGGATGCTGACATTCTGGGAAGAGTTGCAAAGAAAAAGCCATATCTCAGACTGCCCATCTTAATGTTTTCTTTTTACTGGCCAGTCTGAGATATGGCTTTTTCTTTCCAATGCTTTTCCAATAATCTTCCCAAATTTGCTGAGCACTTGTTGGCTGCTTTTCCTTCACTCTGCGGTCGGACTCATCCCAAACCATCTCAATTTGGTTGAGGTCGGGGGATTGTGGAGGCCAGGTCATCTGATGCAGCACTCCATCACTCTCCTTCTTGGTAAAATAGCCCTTACACAGCCTGGAGGTGTGTTGGGTCATTGTCCTGTTGAAAAACATAACACCTCCTCCTCCATGCTTTACGGTGGGAACTACAAATGCGGAGATCATCCGTTCACCCACACTACGTCTCACAAAGACACGGCGGTTGGAATCAGAAATCTCAAATTTGGACTCCAGACCAAAGGACACACACCCAAGCAGGTGTCTTCTTATTATTGGTGTCCTTTAGTAGTGGTTTCTTCGCAGCAATTCGACCATGAAGGCCTGATTCACACAGTCCCCTCTGAACAGTTGATGTGGAGATGTGTCTGTGACTTGAACTCTGTGAAACATTTATTTGGGATGCAATTGCTGAGGCTGGTAACTCTAATGAACTTATCCTCTGCAGCAGAGGTAACTCTGGGTCTTCCATTCCTGTGGCGGTCCTCATGAGAGCCAGTTTCATCATAGCGCTTGATGGTTTTTGCGACGGCACTTGAAGAAACTTTCAAAGTTCTTGAAATGTTCCGGATTGACTGACCTTCATGTCTTAAAGTAAGTGGACTGTCGTTTCCTTTTCTTATTTGAGCCGTTCTTGCCATAATATGGACTTGGTCTTTTACCAAATAGGGCTATCTTCTGTAAACCCCCCCTTCCTTGTCACAACAAAACTGATTGGCTCAAACACATAAAGAAGGAAATAAATTCCACAAATTCACTTTTAAGAAGGCACACCTATTAATTGAAATGCATTCCAGGTGACTCTCATTAAGCTGTTTGAGAGAATGCCAAGAGTGTGAAAAGCTGTCATCAAGGCAAAGGGTGGCTATTTGAAGAATCTCAAATATATTTTGATTTGTTTAACACTTTTTTGGTTACTACATGATTCCATTTGTGTTATTTCATAGTTTTGATGTCTTCACTATTATTCTACAATGTAAAGAATAGTAAAAATAAAGAAAAACCCTTGAATGAGTAGGTGTGTCCAAACTTTTGACTGGTAGTGTATGTCTCTTATACAGTTGAAGTCGGAAATTTACATACACCTTAGCCAAATACATTTAAACTCAGTTTTTCACAATTCCTGACATTTAATCCTAGTAAAAATTCCCTGTCTTAAGTCAGTTAGGTTCACCACTTTATTTTAAGAATGTGAAATGTCAGAATAATAGTAGAAATAATTATTTATTTCAGCTTTTATTTCTTTCATCACATTCCCAGTGGGTCAAAAGTTTACATACACTCAATTAGTATTTGGTAGCATTGCCTTTAAATTG